CCGCCGAGCCGCGCGGCCGCGGCCGCGCGTCTTCAGGGGTCCTGCACCGCATGGCCAGGACCCCTGGCCACGGGGGCCCGCCCGAAGGCAAGGCCCCAGACCGTGAGGAAGCCGACCTCCGAGACGGACTTACCCATGCCGTTCAGGGAGGCGGCCGCCCGGCCGCAGCGGGGCGGTCGAGGTTGCCCTGGAGCGCCTGCAGGTCCGCCGCGAAGGTGTCCCTGCACTCGGCCGCGACCGCGGCGCCGCCTGCTCCCAGAGCAGGCGTCGCGCGCGCCGCCGCCGCCGCGCCCCAGACCACGACCGCGTCGGTGTCGGTCTTGCGGAGCTGCCGTCGAGTAGCGGGCGGGGCTACGCCGGGGCCGCGGCCCGCCACCAGCCCGTCCGCCCACTCGTCGTCCAGCTCCTCCTGCATCTCGGCCGGCTCTGCAGCGGGCGCAGCAGCGACCTCCAGGAGACGGAGGCCCGCGGGGGCAGGCTGCGGGCGGCGCTGCCGCCGCGGCCTGCGACCACCCCCCACGGCGCCGTCCATCTCGGCGTCACCGCGCGTCTCGCCGCCGTCGGCGCGAGCAGCGTCGGCCGCGGCCCCGCCGCAGCCCGCAGCGCCGCCGCCACGACCACCACGCCCCCGTCGCCGTCGCCGCCTCCCAGGGGCAGCAGCAGCGCCAGGCGCGGGCGTGGGTGGCGGTGTGGCTGGAGCCCGAAAGCTCGCCACCGCCGCGCGCAGCAGGCCCTCGGCGGCCCGCAGCAGGCGCACTCCCGACTGGGAGTGGCCCGCCGCGAGGCCCGCCGCGGCGTGCGTCGCCAGGAGCGCCCCGCGGGCTGCTTCCTCGGCGACGCGCTGCTGCGAGAGCGGCCCAGCGAGCGGAGGTTGAGCCCAAATGGTACTGGAGGGAGGAGGAGGAGGAGAGGAGGATGGGAGGAGGAGGAGGAGGAAGGAGGAGGAGGAGGGATAGGAAGAGGAGGAGAAGAGAGGAGGAGGCGGAGGAGGGGGAGGAGGGGAGGTGGGGGAGGTGGAGGAGGAGGAGGAGGAGGAGGAGGGAGGAGGAGTGTGGAGGGTGGAGGAGGAGGAGCCGGAGGAGGGGGAGACCCCCGCGAAGTACGGCGATGGGCGGCGGGGGCAGGCCGTCCTCCTCGTCCTTGGGCCCGACGCCCAGCGCCTCCGCCGGGCGAGCTCCAGAGGCGTGCCGCGCTGTCCGCTGGGGCTTCCGCTGGGAAGGATCGCTTTTCGAGCATCAAGGCTCGATGGTGAGGGATGATCGGACGGGGCTACCTCCCGCCTCCTTCTGAGAAGGCCTCTTCTCTCCTTACCCCCCCCCCTCGCTCGCCGCCGAACCTTCTCGCAGACCCAAGCATCGGGTCCCATCGGGAGGCCTCTGAAGGAGCAGCGCGGCGGCGGGTGGCTCGAGGCGCTGACGGCCGCGGTCGCGTGGCCTGCGCCACCCATGCCTTGCGGCCGGCCGCCCGGCCGACCCTGGGCCTGGAGCCTGTGGCCCAAGCGAACCCCACGGCGGAGGGTGACATCGACGCTGATCGGTTTAGCCTCACCGGTTTTTACTTTCGTCCTGGCTTCGTCTTGGATGAGGGGGGGTACACATCATATTCAGAAGCCCGTGGAGACCAGGTCAAGCCTGGACGCGCAACGCAGTCCACATCCGAGGGAAACAACCTCCGCTTTTTTGGGGGAGGCCCCGAGACAGTCGGGACACCACCCCCCTCACAGCTTTAGTAGGAGGCCGATCAATGGCCTTGCAAGGCTGGCCCAGACCTTGGGCATTCACAGCGGCGTGGGCACCACACCTATCACAACATACCACCCTTTTGAGCACCTGCAGGCGATGGGAGCTGGAGCAATAAGGGTACAAGGGATGCCTGATGGGGGTCAGAAGATAGAGGTCCAGACCCGAGGCGTGGTCCAGGAAAGACTGCCCGTCTCTCAAAGTAGACTTTTGCGATCACACCTCGGACACTTGAGGAAGGAACCGCACATGACACGGTCATGGCCAGCTCTCCGCAACTGTTCCCGTCTGCACCACGGAGGAGAGAAGAGGGGTCGGGCGCGGA